AAGAAAGAATTATCTGGCCCATAGTAACAACAGTGCTGAGGTTGAAAAACTCTAAGCATTAGGATGAAGTAGGCGAGTTTACATTAGAGCAATGGGTTATGACCCGTTAGTGGATTATAAGCAGCATTTTTTGTAATGAAATACAAAAACAAAACAAAATACACAGTCCTTAAACTGATCTGGACTCATGGCAACCCCACGTGAGTCAGAGGAGAGCTGTGCTCTATAGGGTTTTCAACAGCTGATTTTTCAGAAGCAAGTCGCCAGGACTTTTTTCCGAGGTGCCTCTAGGTGGACTCGAACCACCAACCTCCAGTTAGCAGCTGAGCATGTACACCATTTGCGATACAACAGGGTGTAAACACCAGAGTGTATCATATGTCAGAAGGATAAGTATATTGCTGGGGAAGTTTTACACACACACAAGCACGTGCACACATACTCAGGTATGCGTGTAGTACATCATGATGAGAAACGTATTTCTGCTTCAGTTCACCCCAGGTACTACCACTCCCTATCATATGTCATGACCATCTCACCTCATTTTTGGAAAGTGATTTTTTTTTTACATGGGCCCACCTCCCAACCTCACTCATTTCCATATCTGCCTGATGCCTGAAAGTGTGAGTTTCAACTTAATGGTATGATTTATAAACCAAATTAGGAAAAAATGCTGGAAATATTGTCTAAGGGTTAACCGTGGTAACCCATGAGAGATGAGATTATCTGTGACGTTAGTTTTTGTAGTTAACAACTGGTTTCTGACAAATAGGTATTGATTTCATGATACTAAAGGAGTATATGAAAGAGTATTTTCTCCCTAAACAGTAACCCATAATGGAGATACAAGGTCAAAAGACCATTAACTCAGAGGGTGGTGAAAGCCTCTGAGTTAATACATATTAATGACTTAAATCAGGATCCCGCAAGCAAACACTGGCGGAGGCATCAATTCTGGCCAGGAGGCCAATACAGAGAGGGAACCAGAAAAATCACTGAGAATATAAACCACTTTGGCCATTAAGATGGCAGCATTCCAGGATACCAGGAGGTAAAGGCTTCTGGCCGAGCAAAGTGTGCCTCAGAAAGCTAAATCCAGCTCTAAGGATTACAAACACATGGCTCCGAGCTCCTCAATCCCCAAACAAAAGGAAGGTTTCTAAACACTCATAAAAATTTTGTTTTAATAGCTTACACATTTCAATTTGTAGTTTTATGTTACTGGTTACAAAATTTTCACTGCTTAAACTACTTATATGGTTTTTCCATCAAATGGCAATCTTTTCTACACGACTGTAGAAAAATCAGTCTCACCTCTCGTATATCATCCCTGATTATGGAGCATTTCAATATGTATTCCACCACTCCCTCCAGTGACTGTTATTATCGACACTAACAGCAGAGGGTGGAAGTGTACAGTGAAGAGAAAACAGGCCTAGATTCAGGATCTGGCTCAGGAACCTAGCCACCTCCCTGACACATTCTGCAGGAACCTCAACTCGCCTTCTGTAACGTACAGACGCTGGCTCAGAGTTTCTTCTATTCTTATATGACCGGCAAGCTAAGAATGGTTCTTAACATTTTTAAATGATTGAGAAAAATCAAAGGAAGAATTAATGTTCATGAAATGTGCAATTTATAGAAGATTCACATTTCAGTGTCTATCAATAAAGTTTTATTAGAACACATCCATGCTCACTGGTTTACATAATGTCTATAGCTGCTTCTGAGCTACAAGGACAGCACTGAATAGTTGAATAAACACAAAGCCTAAAATATTTACTATCTGGCCCCTTATAGACCAACCCATCGCCATCTAGTCAAGAGGCGCTAAAGGACAGAGTAGACCCTATAGGACAGAGTAGAACTGCCCCACAGTGTTTACAAGGAGCGGCTGGTGGATTCGAACTGCTGACCTTTTGGTTAGCAGCTGAGCTCTTAAACCACTGCACCACCAAGGCTCCCCTTACAGACCAAAACCAACCAAACCCACTGCTGTAGAGTTGCTTCCGACTCTTAGCAACCCCATAGGGTTTCCAAGACTGTGAATATTTATGGAAACAAACCGCCACATTTTTCTCCCACAGAGCCACTGGTGGTTTCAAACCACCGACCTTTCGGTTAGCAGCCAAACGCCTTAACTACAGCGCCACCAGAGCTCCTTGACCACTTATAGAAAAAGGAGCAATTCACAAGAGTAAACTGATTTGGAATTTCACTTCTCCTCCTTTTCTACGCGATGGCTGTCTAACTCATGATTAACAAAATGGCCCCAACACATACTTGCAAGGAATGTTTATGTTTTGGGAAAAGCACTTTTCAAATTCACTGAAATCAGGGATCCACTAACCTAGGATATAAAAAGCCACTCAAAAGTGATAAAGGATTTTCTCAGGAATTCTGATGCCCTTTCTCCCTCTTCCTTTGCACCTCCAGGGGGAAGAGCAGGTGAATTAAGCACATCTGTCATGTTCTCATATTCCTATAAAACAATGTATTCTGAACTGTGGCATAGGAGAACCCATGGTGGTTCACAGACCATGTTTTATTTTACTACTTATATTAATTTCACATATATTAGAAAAAACACAACAAGCAACTTTATTGCTCCGGACTGAGCTAAGTTGCAGATTTAATGTTTAAGTATGTCATTAAATGGCTAGTACTAAAATATGGCAAAAACCATGGCAATGAAAAGTGCAGACAGCAGTGAGTTACGAGGTTGCTGTCGGGTGTAAAACACTCTTCTCAACAGTGTGCTCCATATGGGAAGCAACAAGCTGAGCTCCATGAGGAGTCTGTGTGATTATGTCCCATGTTCTGGCAAGATGGCTACAACAGCATCATATGATGAGATAAAAACAAATCTTTTAGAACTCTGCTCAGAGAACAAGGGAGCAAGAGGAATGTTTTTTCTGAAACTATGTCAACATAAATCATGTCAATCCTAGACTGAAGCTTTAAAACTCAAATGTGAATATCCAGAACCAACCACGTGCATCCTTTATTTTAAAAGATCAAAAGCCATTTATAGTTTACCAACTCTCTTTGCCCCATGCAGAGCCATCTTTAGAGCACCTAGATAGAAGCAGTGCTTGAAAATAACCAAACCAACAACACAACCAAAATGGACGGAATTCTTTAAGGTAACCCCAACCGACTAAATCCCCATCGCTTTATCTTCTTATCTTCCTGCAGCATTTGTGGTCCTTAAAGAACCGATGCTTTGTCCTTCCAAGAATTTGAGAGGAGGAGGGAGGGAAGAGAGGTAGGGGAAGGAGGAAGGAAAAAAGGAGGGAAGGAAGTGAAAGAGGGAGCAAAGGAGGAAGGAAGGAATTGAAACCTAAAAGGCTATCCAAGGTTAATGCTCTGAAGCCTGCAACCAGTGGTGCAGCCTGCAGATGTGCTTTATTCATCCTGCAAAATATCCTGACATTCTGAGATGACATTAACAATGGAGACTTTACATAAAAATCCAGATTTCCCATTTCCCTAGAAGAACGTTAAGATCTGAAAGCCTAAGTCCACGCTCCTACATGGCAACCATGGGCTGATGCCCTTGCAATGGGGGCATGTGCCCCTGGCCCGGAGCCTGAGGCTGGCTGCCCCTTTTTCTCATGCCTGCCTTTCTTAGTGTGAAAACTTCTCTGCGCCTATGTCTCTCAAAGGTTGAAAAACAAAGAACAAACTGTGAAGGCCAGATGTTTCAAGAAAAATGAGAGTAACCTACTTCCTTTACCTCGTTGCTGGTGAGTCGATTCTGACTCATAGCGACCTGACAGGACGGAATAGAAATGCCCCACAGGGTTTCCAAGGCTGTATCTTTGTAAAAGCAGACTCTACATCTTTCTCCGTGCTGAGCAGCAAGTGCTTAACCATTGTGCCACTAGGGCTCCTTTATTTCCTTACAGAGAAAAAAACTTTTTACGTATTTAACACAAAACAAATTATGTTTGGGTGAAATGTATATATATCAATGTAAGTCCCCATTACTTTCCTAACGCTCAGCCAGTGTTCCTCATTGGCACCAACTCCTTGATCCAGGTAGGCGTATAATTGGCAAGCACATGACAAACAATATAGTAACCACTTCTGATGCCAGGCACTATTCTAGGCCCTTTTTGTATACTGATTCATTTAATCCTTCCAAGAACCTAAGAGGTAGGTCCAATTATTGTCCTCATGTTACAGATCAGAAAACTAAGGCATCAAGTGGGTAAGCACCTTGCTCAAAGCCACACAGAATGGCAGAATCAGGATGGGGCTCCAGCATCCTCGTTCCTAACCACTCTGCTAAACCAAGTCTCAAAACTGCAACGTGACTGTTAACGGGTCACCTTTAAGGACTGGAATCGCCCTGGGGAGATAGAGTATTGTTTTTTATTTTGTATGTTTCTCTAATACTTGAGTGTTAAAATGAATGGATGGTTCAGATAGAAAAGCTCCTTTTCAATTAAAATGAATTCTTGGGGAAAAAAAACCAGTGCTTTGGAAAGTTGGTGTGATGAACCCAAAAGGCCTGAAGGATTTCTGGCCATCTCTGTCCATTTCCAGGAACGACCTCCAGCTTGCCTTTTGGGAACACTTTTCTCCTTTTTCGTTCCCCTAACAGCAAGAAGAAGAGCCCTGGTGGCACTGTGGTTAAGCACTCAGCTGCTAACCAAAACGTCGGGGGTTCAAACCCACCAGCCACTCCATGGCTGGAAGATGTGGCAGTCTGCTTCCATAAAGATATACAGCCTTGGAAACCCTACGGGGCAGTTCTACTCTGTCCTACAGGTTGGCTGAGGCAGAACCGACTCGACAGCAATGGGTCTGGGTTTGAAATAGCAAGAGTCCTGTCTGGCTACTCACTGAGAATTTGCCCCACTGGAGCTCAATCCCATGAAGCGCCTTTGATAGCTGTTACAATCGCCCAATGGGGCTCAACAGGTCTGACACCAACAGACACCGCCCAGGTCTGAATGGCTTCCTCCAAACCTCCCCCGCCCAGGGCTGACCTGTACTCTTCTCGAGGAAGTCCACCGACTCTTCGCTTGCACTGAAATGGCTCGAAGTTGCCTTCTTCTCGGCGTCCTGCTCCACGTCAGAGCCCGTGTGCACTGAAGAGTTTGTGCTCATGGGGGAGCGCGGCATATCCGACAAGGAAATCCTGCGGCCCGTGCCCCCGCTCAGCATGGGTTTGCTCATCAGGATCTTGGGAGACGCTGTCATGTCAAAATTGAGCTTGACCTTTTCCTGCTTGTCTATCTTGGCAGTGCCAGCACTGGGGTTGGTGGGATCAAGCAGCATTTGGTACTGGCTGTTGGGTGTGTATGGTGTCCGGAACGGAGAATAATTAAAAACTCCAAACTTCCTACGGATGTTCTCCACATAAACCTCCATCTCTTGCATTGCACTGTTGAAGATGCTTTTAGTCTTTTTCACAGAAAAAGGAATTTCTTTAGACATGAGGTAGCAATTATTTATTGGAACCCAGGCCCTAGGAGTGCAAAAAGGAAAGAGTTTAAGTCAACTTCGGTAATTTCCAAGGCTGTTTTTTCTTCACGCAAACCAAATTAGCCTCATATTTTTGCCAAGATTCTTAAATCCTTAACTTTTTTTTTTTAATGACTCGGTTTGAACAGTTACTAAATAATCCAACGTAACACACACACATTCTGTTATGACAGAACACGAACAACAAAAATTAGTTAAAACTTTAAAAAGCTCTATGATTAGTCATTTTAACCCATTAAAAAATAATAACAGTGGACCCCTGGTGGCACAGTAGTTAAGAGCTCAGCTGCTAACCAAAAGGTCAGCAGTTTGAATCCACCAGCCGCTCCGTGGAAACCCTCTAGGGCAGGTCTACTCTGATCTATAGGGTCGCTATGAGTCGGAATCGACTCAGTGGCAATGGGTTTGGTTTTGGGTTTGTTTTTTTTTGCGGGGGTCGGGGGAGCTTTGAGTTGGTGAGAGGAGGAAAACAGATAGCAATGTCATTACAGCCTAGATTACATCTCACACATCGGCACAGTCACGAGGATTCTAGAGGGGGGACTAGAAGCAAACTCTGGAAAACCGTAAACCTAAAAGGAGGTGCTTATTTTTGAATGTGAGACAATTCATGTGGAAAATAACCAAAACCAAAACCAGCCCTTTTGATTTTAACTGGCCAATAAGCATATAAAAATGTTTTTTAACGCAAAATAGGGGGCAGTGGTATTTAGTGGTAGAATTCTCGCCTTCCATGCGGGAGACCTGGCTTTGATTCCCAGCTAATGCACCTCGTGTGCAGCCAGCACTCATCTATCAGTGGAGGTCTGCATGTTGCTATGATGCTGAACAGGTTTCAGCATCGCTTCCAGATGAAGATGGATTAGGAAGAAAAGCCTAGCACTCTACTTCCAGAAATCAGTCAATGAAAACTCTATGGATCACAATGGTCCGATACACAACCAGTCATGTGGATGGCACAGGACCGGGCATCATTTCGTTCCATTGTATATGGCGTCACCATGAGTAGGGGGTCAGCTAACAACAACAATGCAAAATAAAGCAGGATGACAGTCTCACCTATCAAACCAGGTGTGGGTGGGGGAAGAGCCCTTCAGCCTCTAGGTGTGCACCTTCCACCTCCCACACCAGGACAGTTCAATCTTCCTACCTTCAATCCCCATATCCCAAAAGGCTCCGCACAGACACAAGGAAGTAAAAATGCCAGTGGATGCTTCTCTGGAACTAGCAGCCCAGTGACTGCAGACAGGAGACAGGGGTGCGAGTCCCACTGCTGCATGTGCAGCAAAGCCGATACAGAAATCCCCAGAACATAACTTTGTCATCACATACATTTGCTCTGCCTCAACCCAGTTTGTAGCTGGGAATTGAAGGAGATGTGTTTTTCCAAGGAGGCTTCTTGGATTTTACAGCCCATAAACTCAAGACAGTATGAAGCAATGGAAGCAAAGTGAATTATGGGGAAGTAGAAAATCCACGTGCAGAGTAAAGGCAGTAACATCTATGTTGCTACCAAAAGTGGCCATTCAGGATCTGGGTGGACATTGCTATGTTGTCCAATGTTTCAAAAAAAAAAAGTTTTTTTTTAATATTAAATTTTGCCCCCCTTTTTTTTATTGTGGGGAATATTTATGTAACAAAACATCTGCCATTTTTACGTGTACAATTAAATGACACCAATCACATTCATCTTGTTCAACCATCACCACCATCATTTCCAAATTTTCCCATCACCCTTAACAGAACCTCAGGGTCCCCTAAGCAGTGAGTCCCCTTCTCACCCACCCCTGGTAATCACTAATAATTTTAGGTCTCTACACACGTGCATATTATAGGAATTTCGTATGTGTGAGATGGTAGATGATTTGACTTTCTGTGAAATTTTACCCAAGTTTTTTTGGCACCTGATTCATGTTTTTAAAAGAAAATGGTCCAAGGGAAAGTAAGTGTGTCCTTGGAGTAGAATTCAGAATACAGGCAGCCTCTTTGCAGCCCTTGGCAATAACTAGATCATGACGCAAACTAAAACTGTTGCTGTTAGGTATCATCAAGTCGATGTCTACTCATAACACCCCAAGTGACAGAACAGAACTGCCCCACAGGGTTTTCTAGGCTGTAATCTTTATGGGAGCAGATCATCAGGTCATTTCTCCCATGGAGTCACTGGGTGGGTTCCAACAACCAATCTTTCAGTTAGCAGCCAAGTGCTTAACCGTTGCACCACCAGGGCTTCTTAAACTAAAACTAAACACCCCCAAAATATCTAACTCATCTCAGCGTGCTTAAAATCACCAGGTTCTCGGGCATTCCGACTGGCTGCTGTCATTCTGCTGAAACCTGAAGAACCACGGCTCCAGCCAGATGGAACGGGGGCTGAACAGGAGCCAAATGCCTTCCAGGCTGAGTGTGCTCGAGATTCCGTGTATGAGGCTGGGTGGACACAAGTCCGGGCTAGACACAAAGGTGTGAGAAGCATAGGGACTCCAGGGCTGCCACTGGACGAGTGACTTCACTCCCCTGAGCCAGCCTCAAGCTCTGTCACCAGTGAAGCAGAGGATGAGCCCCTGCCCTCCTGGGGGGGAGTGGGGGAGGAGGTGGGCATCGAGGGGATCAAATAAAAGGCACTTAAGCCAGTGTCCGGCACCACCAGTCGGTCATTATCATTGTGACCATGTCCCCCCGACACCCATGTCTGTATGAGGGCCTTAACTGTTTCTTCCCTGGTTCTCAGATGCTGTCAATGGCATTGCCTGGTAAGCAATTTCTAGAAAGTAAAATGTTTCTTTTCCTTTAAAGCAGGCCCAGAGCCCTGGTGGCACTGTGGGTAAGAGCTCGGCTGCCAACCAAAACATCAGCAGTTCAAATCAACCAGCTGCTCCTTGGAAACCCTATAGGGCAGTTCTACTCTCTCCTATAGAGTCACTATGAGTTGGAATCGACTAGACAGCAACGCGTTTATTTTTTATTTTTGGGTTTGGAAAGCAGGCCCAGGAAATACTTAAAATGGAAATGAATTTGCTTCACAATATAAAGTTTCTAGAGGGCAATGTCACGAGAGCACAAGAGCAGCACCGCATTTAAAAGCCTGTGCTCTGGACTTGCATTCTCTGGGTTCTAATCACAGCCTGGCTACTTCCTGGCTGTGAGGCCTTGAGCAAGGGATTAACCTCTCTGTGCCTCAGTTTTCTTATCAGTAAAATGGAGATAAAAGCAGTTTCTCTTTCACATGGCTGCTGTGAGAACTAAACAATCAAATACATCAAAAGCCCTTCAAAACAGGGCCTGGTGGATAGTAAGCATTCCATGTCTGCTACTTCTTGTTTTTTTTTTAGATCTGCAGGCAGTTAATGAAACACATTCTATATTCTTACGCAATACTACGTGTGTGTCTATGAAATAAAGCAGAAAAAGCAGTATCTTTAAAGGACAGAAAGCACGCAATGAGACTACTCAGAATGTGCGCTGACTTAGGCAGGAGCCTCCCCGGCCTCTCGCTATGATTTGATTTACTAGACAATTAACCACGCAGTGGTCTAGAATATTTCTTGGTCTGCTGTCCTGCCCTATTTCACTGACACACCTTTGGCTCTACAACCCAGAGGTGAGCTCCTCTGAAACAGGGACCAGTGTATCACACCTCTTGCAGCCTCCTTCAGCCTCCACTTCGTTCCCAGGCCTTAACCAGAGGGACGAGTCGATAAACTCTGCCCCACTCTGCTTTCTTTAAGAACATGTGTGGGAAACCCTAGATCCTCTGCAGATGAAGGGATCCCCCTCCCCCGAAAAGAAGAACTCCCTTTAGGAGTGGCTTCGCCCACAGCTGTCAGTGACTCCCAACCCAAGGCCGATTAGAACATTCTTAGAACTCCAACGTGTCATGACTCTGCCACTCTGGAATGCCCTTCGGGACTCCCTCAATGTGCTCCCTCACCCAAAACAAACTCCACAACTTGGAGCTTTCACGCAAGGGATCAGAGACACCACAGACGCTAGGAGGGACCTGGAAAATCTGGTGGGTTGCCACAACTTGCCACGGGACGCAGCAAGATCATGAAACTCACGCTGCTTTCTCTTCCACAAATGCACAGAATGGGTCCAGCTTCCGTGACAGCTCCAATCCGGAACTAAGTCCTAAACCTGCTAGGTGGCGCACAGGATCCCTGAAACAGCACCAGCAAAACTCATGCCCCCTAAGCCACCTCCCACACAGAGGGATCAGAGCTGTGAGAGGGCCTGAGAATTTGTGGTACATGGGGCCAAGCTATGCTTTTCCCCACCCGCTCTCCCCTGCCCATCTATTTCCTAAGTGTACGCGCACTGTTATACTAGAGAGTAAGAATAATCCTAAACCTTCGAGATAATTAACACTTGCTATGCTCTCGTGAAGAGGCAAGATGATGTACATACAACCTGTCATGACCACTCTCCTGCTTTTCAAATAACAGCCAGACTCCTGACCACAGCCCCTGGGAATTGGCCCCTGCTCATCCCTCTAGCCCCATCTCCTACCATCCTTTCCTCCCCTCAACCCATTTGACCCAAACTGGCCCCCCTGCTTTTCCCAAACACACTCAAGCCCTTCCCTGCCCCAGTTCCTGCTCCTGCTGGTCCCTGATCTTCACACCTGGCCTACCATTACCTCCTGATCTGAAGGTATCTTGCTTACTTGTTTACTTATTTATTATCCTCCTTCTCCTCTAGAATGTAGGTAGGGACAGTGTCTGCCTAGCTCATTCCTGTATCCCCAGCATCTAAAACACAGCCTGGCACACAGCAGACACTGTCCACATACTTCTATGAATGAAGGAATACATTAATTTTAGAAAGATTTCCAACAAAAGTCGTTAAAATCTAATCAAGTGTAATACTTCCTACCAAACCCACTACCATCTCAAAGAATTTCTCTTGTCTCCTAACAATGGACTGCCACGATTCCTATTAATAATTTAGCAGATTACTTTGGAATTCATGCTTCTCTTTCATTTGCAAAATGACAAGCAGGACTTAACAAAGAGAACAGTATTTCAGATTTTAGAGTTGCTTAAAACTATAAATGACTGTATTTTTTCTCTGTGTGTGTGTTTAATTTTTAGCATATGTATTTTAAATATTCTCCCCAACAGGTTCACATACTTTCTCAGACTGCTTAGTAGGGCTTTGAAAAGGTTTTTGCCCCTTAACATAACATGTCAGAAGAGAACTAAGATATTACCCACTGCTCATCTCTGTCTACTTCTTGTTCTCGAGGACTCCGGGTGCTCCACTCTAAGCGGAACTGCTATGAGCTGGAACAATTCACTTTGCCGTGTGCAGAGGGGAAGGGGAGGGCAGAAAGGCAGGGAGGGAGGGTTCACGCCTGTCAAAACAGCATCCCCTTATAATTTCCCATTTTAGCTCCAGGGAAAAGGGAATAGAAGGGAAGGACCCAGCACAATGATTAACAGATTCATTTACTGGCAAGCAGGGGAAATACTTCTGATCCCTGATAGCATTATTTTGAAAAGCAATTTGCGTGGCAGTTTAATTTACTCCAGAAAATCCAAAGAGGAACAGCAGCACTTCACACAGCCACTGAACCCACTTTGATGCCGGTGTCATCAACAGAACCACGGAAGCAAGGTTCTTTTCTAATCTACCTGAACAAACCGAAGCCCAGGCATTATCAGGCTTAACACAGCACAGCAAAGTATTTTTAAACTCTAAGATGAATCGTGGGTCGCGTGACAATGAACAAAATAATAGCCATCCTCTCCGCCCCTTCTCCTATCCAATGACAGTATCAAAGGTTTCAGTTAAAGCTACCCATTCAAAGCCTGTTTTCAACTCCTACCTGTCATGTTGTCCAAAGAAACGAGCATCGACCTGCCCATCTTTATCCCTCAGAGCTTTTGCCGGCCAGAATGGAAAGCCCTTCAGTTTCGCCCAGACCAAAGGATGTGGATTGCTCTAGGAAAAGAAAAACAAAATCCAGGGTTTATATATATCTGACAGCAAGATATGTGCTTAAAGCCCGGTGTGAGGATAATGCAGGTAGACATGATACAGACCACAAGTGGAAAGACAACGGTTTCAAGCAGGGTCTCCCAAAGTCGTGTTCCCTAGAAGGTGTGGGAGCCAATAAGCCTGGGGTTAAACAGTGAGATCAGGAAGAAATGAGCCTAGACAATACCAGGCTTGAATCCTGCATCTGCCCTGCCACTTACTGCCTGCGTGACCACAGGCAAGAGATCCCACCTTTCTGTGCAACATGGACACAATTATACCTAAGCTGTTAAGTTTGAGGATTCAATCTGCACTGTGCCAGGCCTATAATAAGGGCCAGTATTAGCTACCCTTATTCTTCATCAGCAACTGTTAACGAACGGTTAATGCACTCAGGGCTAACTGAAAGGCTGGAGGGTCCAGTTTACCCAAAGGTGCCTCCGAAAAAAGGCCTGATGACTTACTTCCAAAAAAATCAGTCATTGAGAACCCTGTGGAGCACAATTCTACTCGGACACACATGGGGTCACCATGAATCAGAATCAACTCGACGGCAACTGGTTTTATCCTTGATCAAAGGCTACTCAGGACGTTTACTATTCTAGCATTAATCTCCAAAGGCAGAAAGAGATATAAACTATGTTTTCATTCTCACCTTTATTTGCTTTATCTTCCCTTCCACCCCACAACCCCCACATACATATACACAGACACCAGCCTAACCCACTAACGCACTTCTCACCGCAGAACACCAGTTTGGAAAACGCGGATCTGCAGGGGACTTTCTGGCTCCCAAGAACCATGGCTTGGAGAGGCCATAGAGTTAATCTAGGGATGCACTTCCAAACCCCTTAAAATAGACCTAACACGATTTTTAAATGGCATGCTCATTTAATACGCATCTCATTATCTGTCCTGCTTCATCTCATCCCAGTCCCATGTCTCTTGCATCCTGCAGTTTGCTCAGGCTAATAAGCTGGGTAAATCATGATGCTATCTCTGGCACATGCACTTTCAGCCCAAGAGGTTTATCCTACCTGGATTACTTTCATTTTGCCATAATTTTATTAGGAAAAAAAAATTACTTAAAAACGTCACCCAAACTTTCGTCTAATCAGCCACCTGGCAAAAGTTGCCATGGGGTAGTTGACCAAGGCATAGAGTTCAGAAAATGAAGTAAAGAAAAGAAGTCCAACTTACACAAGGCTCACAAAACCAGTTATCTCGTTTTTGGCAAGCAGCCAGATAACATTCCGGACACACTTCAATTTCATTCATCTGTAAAGCAGAAAGACATTAGAATGTGTCATCCTAGGGGACTTACACGCTGGAAGCCCTCAATAAATGCCTGATGATTTTGACTGATAAAATCAGCTAAGCAGGAACGGCCATCTAAAATGCATCAATTGGTCCCAACCCACCTGCAGTAAAGGAGAACGAAGAACACCAAAGACACAAGGGAAGTATTAGCCCAAGAGACAGAAAGGGCCACATAAACCAAAGACTGGTGCCCAGCTACCACCAACGACCGCCCTGACGGGGAACACAACAGAGTCCCTGACGGAGCAGGAGAAAAGTGGGGTGCAGAACTCAAATTCTAGTAAAAAGACTAGACTTAATTGTTTGACTGAGACTGGAGGGATCTCAGAAGACATGGCCCCTGGACTCTCTGTTAGCCCAAAACTAAAACCATTCCCAAGGCCAACTCTTCAGATAAAGATTAGACTGGACTATGGGACATAAAATGATACTTGCAAGCGTGTGCTTCTTAGCTCAAGTAGATACATGAGACTAAATGGGCAGCTCCTGTCTGGAGGTGAGATGAGAAGGCAGAGAGGGTCAGGAGCTGGCTGAATGGACACGGGAAATCTGGGGTGGAAAGGAGGAGTGTGCTGTCACAGTACAGGGAGAGCAACTAGGGTCACATAACGATGTATGTATAAATTTCAGTATGAGAGACTAACTTGAATTGTAAACTTTCACTGAAAGCACAATTAAAAAATAAATAAAATAAAATTAGCTAAGCAAAATTCCTTAGTTGGGAAACATCTAGCAGATGACTCCAACTACTCCCATCAATTCCAGTTTTCACCCTAGTCCAAGCTGCCTTCATTTCTCCCCTGGACCAATGTACCAGCTGACTCCCCAACACGGCGCCCAGCTTCTACTCTTACCCCACCATGGCTCACTCTCCACACAGCAACCAGAGCCATCTTTACACACATAAATCTGATCTTGTCCCTCTCTTGGTTAAAAGCTTCCAGTGACGTCCCGTTATACCAGTGGTTCTCTGCCAGGGCAGTTTTGCACCCCACCCCCACCTCAGGGGACATCTGGCAACACGTGGAGACATTTTTGGTTGTCACAGCTGGGTGAGAGAGGGTGCGCTAATGGCGTCTAGTGCGTAGAGGCCAGGGATGCTGCTGAACAGCCTGTAATACACAAGATAACCACCCCACCCCCCCACAACAAAGAATTATCTGGCCCAAAATGTCAGCAGTGCTGAGGTTGAGAAACCCTGCCTTATACTAACAATAAAATCTAAACACCTTATCAGAGTTTTCAAGACTATGTATGATCTGGCCTCTACCCACCTATCTGACCTCGTCTTGTATGAGCTCCACCCTTCTTCATCCATCTCAGCCACTCTGGCCTCCACTTGCCAATTTCTATACATCTCTACTCACACCATCTAGAATAGTTAATTAATACCATGTCACCCTATTTTATTTCCACTGATGACTCTCTAAAAATTCCGTAACTTATTTATATGTAGACTTGCTTGTTGTCCTTCTCCCTTCTTGAGAACAGACATTCCAGCCAAGGACCCTGGAAGCCCCCTTCTTAGATCTGAATTCAGACCCTACCACTTACTAGCTCTATTACCTTTAGGAAAAGTTGCTTCTCTTCTCTGGGCCTCCATTTCCTCATCTATAGAATGGGTAGCAGTACCTACCGCTATTATAAAAATTAAGTAAGATCGTAAATATAAAGCACTTCAAATAGAGACATGGTAATCACTGTATTAATTAACGTTTACTGAAGACATAGAGTGTGCTGTTATCATTCTAAGTGTTATGGGTATTAACTCGTTTAAAGTTCATAACCACCCTGTGAGGTGGGACTGTTGTTATCCCCATTTTACAGAGAAATAAAACAAGGTCCCAAGAAGTCAAGTGACCTGCCCGAGGTCTCACAGCAGCTAAATGGTAGGGCCAGGATTTGAACCCAGCTCCAAAGCCCACACACTTCACCACTATACTGTTAGTTGCTATTCTCTTCCCACCATCTTCAGTCTTTTTCTCTTTTTCTTCTATCATCATGCAATGTGCCGGATACATAGTAGGTGCTCAATAATTGTTTATAAGACTGACTGCGACTCAACAAATCAATAAATAAATGTGCTTCCAGTATCAGAAAAGGCACAAAGAAACTGCCACATGCATCCATCTCAGGTTGGTGTATGGATTTCTACAGATTTTCTAGAAAATAATCAGGCACTATCTACTTCAATCTACCTCGTTGATGTTTACAGCCTCTGACCTGGTAATTGCATTTCTGAAAATTATACTAAGGATATCAGCAGTGCACACCGAGACAGAGGTATTATTTAAAATGCTGACGAAACTGGATATTGTCTAAATGACAACAGGGGTTAATTAAATAAATTTTCACATACTGTATACAGGAACACTATGTAGTCATGAAATATTGTTATTCTTGTCTAACTATTCAAATACGCGAAACAAATTAAGTGAAAAAAACATATTATAAAACCATGTATATATAGAGAAGAGAGAGACAGACGTATCCCAGTAATATCCAAATATTTTCTTTACATATCCATGAGTGAATGAAAGGAAATGCGCCAACAGGTTGAAGACCACTGTGCCTCAGTTTCTTACTTTTACAACGGGGATCTATATAAAGAAGGCCTCCATCATGCCATTTCTGCCTCCAGCCGTGTCCCACACCACCAGAGCCCCAAGGCTCCCATGTCCAGGAGGTTCATTTTATCCACATCATTAAAACTATGGGGTCTGTGAGAGGGACAGACTCTCAGGGACAGAAATAACTTGGTCTGATCTCTGAGAAGCAGCTGAGGGCTCTCCCCTAAAATAATGTCAAAATCCAAACTTCTTTTGCAAGAAGATTTAAAGGGGCCTGGCTCAATGCCACAGATTATGGGGCAAAGCTCAGAAATTAGGAACTCCCTCTATGCAAGTAAGAAAACTCACAATGCCCAGCAACTGACAAAGACATAAGGCTGAAGAATAAGAATCACTCACTGTTTGCAACTCCTTTAGCTCACGGCTAAGGCACACGTGCTTTATAACATACCAGGGGGTCCCCTGTTTGATGCTTTAACTTTCCTTAAAAGAGAGGGGGCGCTGCCTATGCCACAAAGATTCCCAGATCACCACAGCTACCCACTGGATGATTCTTCAAATAGAACTTTCAGCCACCCTAACCCATCATTTAGGGTTCACTTTTAAAAAACAGAGCTCAGCAAGAAAATCATACCTCATGTTCACAGATTTTGATGACTACTTTCGCTATTTGTGTCAATTTGTGATTTCCTGAGGAAATAAGAAAATAGGATTAGTTCAAATGGAAGCACTGTAACATCGGCCTTGAGATTGCACTTCCACTCATGACCTTTTAACTTGCCTTCCCCGAGAATTAAGATTTTAAAGGTTAAAAACCAGAAGTTACTGGCTTTTAATACCAGTTCAAATTGTATTACTTCTTCATGAAAATCAACCAATCTTTGGCATCTCAATGTTGTCTTCGCTGAAATGGAACAATTTGTGTGGGTTTCCCATTATTACCCAAGAGTTCACAGACTAGTATTTGAAAAACACTTTTACATCTTAAAGGAATCTTATTCTACCCATGGTCCCAAAGAACAATTCAAGAAGGGTATAAGGGAAAGAAGATATTTAATTAAGTAGCTCTCCTGTGCCTCACGCTTCAAAATACATTTCCATGTTAATGCCTCATGAAGTCATATTAGGAAACAGGTATGAATGTTCCCATTTAAGTGATAAATAAGCCAAGGCTGAAAGGAGTCACTGCTTCATGAGACCACTTAGTTAACAAGCTGAGGATGTGGCTCCAGGTCAAACTCTAAATCCCTGATCTCTTCACTAAACAAACACACGAGATGTTTTCTTTGAACTTTACAGTATTTTCAGAAATGTTGACAAAAGGATCTCATTTAAAAAAAAACAAAAACAAAAGAAACCTACATCTCTGGCTTGCTTTGAAAACTCAGAAGATCCAACTCTGTATCCACCAAAGCCCCGGAGCTGCAGCGGCAGCCCCTCCAGGCCAGGTAGGAGTCCCCTGTTCTCCAAAGTTGCCAGCAATTCCCAGGCCAGCAGCCATGCTGGAGTATGCTGCCATTTTTCTTCCTGATTCCCTCGGTTCATATGATCTGATGGGCCCTTCTATATATCTGAGTTTATAATCCCTACACAAATTCATAAGGAGGCCTGGTGGCACAATGGTTAAGCACTCGGCTGCCAAGAGAAAGGTCAGCGGTTGGAACTCACCGGTTGCTCCACAGGCATAAAGACCTAGCTTGCTGCCTAGTGCCTTTCTTTCTCCCCTCTCCACACTCCTGGCCCTGCTAGCTACCGAGTTAACAATGCAAAATATATGCTTTAAGCAGATATCTGTCCACCATTCATCTATGTAAACCATTAACCGTTGCCACTGAGTCGATTCCAACCCATAGCGATCCTACAGGACAGAGTAGAACTGCCCCAGAGAGTTTCCAAGACTGTAATCTTTACGGAAGCAGACTGCTACACCTTTCTCCCGAGAAGTGACTGGTGGGTTCAAACCACCGACCTTTTGATTAGCAGTCGAGTGCTTAACCTGAGCCACCATGGCTCCTTCATCTTTGCTAGGTCCCGGGATATACAGGGAACAAGACAAGGAGTCTACCCTTAAAGAGCTTACATCCTGGTGAATCATTCAAACAAATAAAAACAGTACCATCCAGAAAGTGTGTTGAAGGCTGCCCCGTGAAGGTACAGGACTGTGAGAGACCCTGATGAGAACACCTCGCGTGGTCTAGGGAGGTCAGGGAAGGCTTCTCAGAGGCTGGGACTGAAGGATAAGGGTAGTTATCAAGGCAAAGGGAACTATATATGAGAAGATCTGGGGTCAGCGAAAGAGGGTGGGACAGGACCCCTAAAGATCTACCTGGCCAGAGGTAGACAGAGAGGGTTAAGGGTGGGGGGAGCAGTGAGGAATATGCCAAGGGTGAGATTAGAATGGAAAATCTCCTCCACTCTATCTAGAAGGCTCAATCTCTACGTCCACAAAAACACAGCTGAAAAAACTTTTATCCAGAATGTAAAGAACTCTCCTAACACATCTAATAATAAAAACATAAGCCACACGATTTTTTAAATGGGCAAAAAATTTGAATAGACACTACACCAAATAACTACAGTTAATAAACACATTAAAAGACACTCAATGTCATTAGGGAAATGCAAATTAAAACCACTATGACATACTATTTCACACCTTCAAGAATGGTTAAGATTAAAAAGACTGAGAATACCAAGTGTTGCCAAGGATGTGGAACAACTAAAACGGTGTAACTACTTTGGCAAAATTTCTTATAAAATTAAATATACATCTAACCCTATTACTCAGCAATTCTACTCCTAGGTATTGGTCCAAAAGAAATGAAAACATATGTCCACGCAAAGACTTGTCCAAGAATGTTCATAGCACCTTCATTTCACAACAGCCAAAAGCTGGAAACAACTCCAATGTCTATCAACAGATAAACAGATAAATTATTGTACAGTCATAGAATAAAAGCCACTCGGCATTAAAAGGGAGAGAATCACTGATACATAACAACACCGTGGATGAATCCCAAAAAATATTACACTGAGTAAAAGCAGTCAGACATGAAAGAGCGCACTCCCTATGACTCTATTTACAAGAAATTCTAGAATATGCAAAGTTCATTTATAGAGACAGAGAACAGAACAGTAATTGCTTCTGATGAACTCACTGAAAGGGGCAGGCAGAAACATAATGGGGTGACAGAAATGTTCCATATCCTATTTAGGGTGGTGATTACACAGGTGATTCCATATTTGTCAAATTCATCGAATGTACACTTAAAATCTGTGCACTTACTATGTGTAAACTCTAAGTTCATTTTTAAAAAGTTTTTTTTTTTTTTTTTTTAAATGTAGGAAGCAGCAGCACCATAGAGAAGTACAAACCACTCTGGACATCAGCTTACACCTTAAAAAGCATGTAGACACTGCTCCCTATTCACACACCAATCTCTACACAAGTATTCTGTTATCGGCCCTGATGGGAGAATGAAGAGCCTGGTTTTTGAGGAAGAGCAGGGTAACAGGCAACACACACAGCATACTCTCTCTCCTAGGAGTCGGCAAAGCCACTCACCCCCATTATAAATGATGCAGTTGTGCAGAATCCACTTTGCGTCAGCCAGGAAGGCTTCTGTGCAGCCATACATTTTCTTTTTAGCGTTCTAGGGAGAAAAACCATACAGCATAATCACTAGTGAGTCTATATAACCCACAGTCAATAACACCTGTGTCCCCACATAATTTTCTTAGCAGGCATTTGCCAAATTAATTAATGCTCTTTTCCTCATTTCCCAAGATGCTATTATTTTTGAGATCTATAACCCTATAAAGATGCGTTCACTGAATTCATCACACTAACTTGAATTTTCTCATCGTTCAGTAGCTACCATTTATCAAGCAGCTCCTCCAATGAACCAAGATACTTTATAAATTTACGCATTATTTATTATTATCTGTACTGTATCACATAAGCCTGTGATAACTCAATGAAGTAGTTATTTATCGTCCCCATTTTACAGACGGGGAACCTGAGATACGGTAATGTTAAGGAGCTTAAACAAAGTCCCAAAACTACTAAGTTATAAAGCTAGAATTCCAACCCTGCCTCATTTAAATACCTTCTTCTTTCCACCATACCATGAGGGTGTGTGCAATTTTCCAATGCATGTGAGAATTACTGTTCGGGGAGTTTCAGTGCAGATGACATGAAGTGATGTTTCTCATCAATGCTTTTTCATTACCCATATTTTGGAGCTAACAGTTTGAAAATTGGCACCAGGATCATGGACACAATCTAAAGTGTTACAAGTATAATCTGAAGCATGGAATTTTAGCATAAACTTTTAAAAACACCTCAGGCATTAAAGAAATACCCGTATCAGTAGAATAAATAAGTTCTAAGAAGCCACGTCTTTATTGCTAATCTGGAGGTTTCCCAGACGCTTCATTTTCTCTTCTTCCTTCCTGCTGCTCTCATTAGCACCTCCAACAGAAATAGGAGGGAAGGCTCAAAATCATTAATTCTTAAAACCTATGACTTTTTCAGTTAAAAAGCTGGAATCACTTGCAGAAGCAGTACTTGGAGCTAATCAGTAGATTTCAACACTCCATTGCAATGCTCGGAAGAATGTTACAGAGGAGAGATGAAGGGGATCACAGGTTCTTCCACCCAAACACAAATGGAACAGAGAACGTGCAGAGAAATAATCTAACTTGAGATGGGACATAGAAAGTGAGGTAGTATGCTTAGGCATCTTGACAACTGTAGGCTACAATGTTGAGGTTCTTTGATAAAGGCCAACCTTTTCCAATGTACAAAGGTCCATGGGATGAAAGATGTATTCTGCGTAGTCAGGATGCTGTTCCAATGGAACGGGCTTCTGGAATGCGTCTGTCTATAAAAGAAAAGACGCACAAGCACAGACACAAACTCGTCATCGCTGGGGAAGACCAAGCTCTTAATACCACACCAAAGGGCCTTAATATACAGTTCTTCTAAAGGGTTCCATAAGAAGCCCTGGTGGCCCAATGGTTAAGCACTTGGCTGCTAACGGAAAGGTTGGCAGTTCAAACCCAACAGCCACTCTGCGAGAGAAAAAAACCTGGCAATCTGCTCCCATAAAGATGACAGCCTTGAAAACCCTATGGGGCGGTCCTACTCAGTCACATGGGGTCACTATGAGTCAAAAATCAACTTGACGGCACCTAACAACAACAACAACAAAGAGTTCCACAAAAGATATCCTTGGGGAGCTCCAAATTGGTCCACCTTCTAATTCTGCCTGGTCATGGATAAACATGGGCCCAGTTGTGTTGATTTTATTGGTTTTGTTTTCAACATATATCCAAATAACAAGTCCTGTCCTCTTTTGTATTAAGAATGCCAAGATCAGCACACTCTCAAACATTTTAGACCTAAACTCTAAACAAGGCTTGTGTATGTGCTGCAACTGTCCATAATCAAAACTGACTGCAGGTGAGGTGTGGCTATGGTTAGAGATGACACACCAAATAAAGTTCCTGTGAGTGTCAAAAAGAAGGAGCTCTGGTGACGTAGAGCACTTGGCTGCTAACTGGTTTAAACTCACCAGCCGCCCTACAGGAGCAAGATGTGGCAGTCTGCTTCCGTAAAGATTACAGCCTTGGAAACCCTATGGGTCAGTTCTACTCTGTCCTATAGGGTTTTTTTTGAGTCAGAATTGGGTTTTTTTGAGAACCAACAGGTATCTCACAGATAGAGAGAAAATTCAGACAGCGAGATTTTGCTCCTTTGAGAAGCCATGGAAACCCTGGTGGCGTATGGGGTGAAGAGCTACGGCTGCTAACCAAAAAGCTCGCAGTTCAAATCCACCAGGTGCTCCCTGGAAACCCAATGGGGCAGTTCTACTGTCCTATAGGGTCACTATGAGTCAGGATCGACTCAGTGGCAACGGGTTTGGTTTTTTTACTTGAGATGCCTAATCACCTTCAAAACAGGGGCTGTGTAAAAGTTTTTCATCTTGTTTTTTCATCGCTTTCTTAATCCCTACTTGATCGGCATAAAATGCAAGGCCCTGTTTGTGGATGGGTGGTGTTTACTTATCCATGAAAAATCTACAAGATTTAATACCAAATTATACTCAAGCAAGGCATCTGAACGGGCTGCCCATCTGTAGTCATCTGAGCCCTTTTTCATCCAGAATTAAAATCTGGCCACTATTAAGTTAAAAAGATACTTCAACAAAATCAGCAAACTTTCTGCCCAACTTTATATCAAACAATTAAACATAAGAAGTTTATGTCTTCTTCCATTTTTCTCTTTGGGTTTCTAATTCTACAGTGTTGACAAGTCTACATGAATCTCTTCTTTTTGTAAACAGTCTTCAGCAGATATAATTTAGTCTGTGAAAAGCAAGAAGTAATTCTTTGTCACTCAACATAAAAACCACACATAGCAAAACAAAAAAACTTAACAAACTGAGGCTACACACTTGGGCTTTTGCCAGTTGAGACTGTTTTGTTAAAGAGGCCCTCAGGATGCCAACTTAGCAACAACCAATTGGCATGCTATGGATTTTTTTCATCACCATATCAAATTTCAGAACATCGTCTCAAAACAAAAGCTTATTATTTAACTCAAGTCCTGAGATTCTACATCTCTGCATTAAGTCCCACAAACATGAAGGTGTCTTTTGTACAAACTGGAAAAGGGATCCCCACTCTCAAGTTTCTTTAGATTCATCTGTAGGAAACATGTCATAATATGTTGATTATACTGTCCTAATATATTTTTTTTTTTAAAACAAGATACTTTACTGCCATCTTCCTGAAAACTGTCACATTAAATACACAAACCACAATGACTATGATGTGGCTGCAGCCCTGTAGTGGGGGCACTGCTGTGAGATGTACAACGTGCCAGCAGAATGCGGCAGCCCTCATTCACATATGGATTTTAAGGGGCATACGCTGCACACAGGGTCTCATTTCAAAATTGAAGGCACAAAGCAAATTCTCACCCTATCTGGGAAGTTCACTGCTTGAGTTTTACTTACAGGTTCTATCATCAGACCATGGTTATAAAGACATTGGGTTGTGCTCAGCTTTCCTTCAAATGGAATTCTACCAGCTCCCGTGGGAAGGGACACAAAGCTCCCTCTTACCCAATGGGATATGAAGTTCCACTTCACAACCAGTCAGAATTTTAAATCCCCACCAACTTGCTACTATATATCATTTCCCGATTCTGAATGGGTTGCCATTTGTAGTCATCTGAGCCCTTCGGGACACAGACTGCTTGCTTTAAAAAATTAACTGAGGGTGGAAAAAAAAAAAAAAAGAAAGAAGAATTAACTAACCGCCATAGCACCTTATCCTTAATTTTCAAATATTTGAATTTGGGTATACAAGAAGGCCAAAAGCATGTGTGCAAAGGCCTGAAAAACTAAGCCTACCAAGAACAAGAAAGTAAACTAAACAAACCAAAAGTCGCTATTTCCATTTACGCTTGTACCAAGAGGAAATTTCTTCTTACCCCTGGCTGTTTCATTTTCTGAATGGCAAACTTGAGCAGGTATGATAACTGTTCGATGGTGAGCATAGTCATGGCTTTACTCTGGGTCTCGATGCATTCTGCTACTGTAATTTTCTACAAGTCAAAATTACACAAATGTCCAGTTAGAAAAAAAATAAATTTACATTACTATCCGTGTACTTATTTCCCTTTCATTCTATTTTTCCAGTAAGCTCACACATAAAAAAACCACTCCCATCTAAGTGAGATTAATTTTTGCTTGGCAGAGACTCCAATCTACTTAGCCGAAGTGTACTGAATCAGTGGGCAGGGGTGGATAATGCATTAGGGAAGGAAAGCACCATGCTTACTTTGCTTACCAGATCATCCGTAGTGAATAATTTCACATTGTTTCACCACGTTAAAAGATTCTGCTTCTAAGTACAGCTGGCATCTGTCTCTCTCTCTCAATGCCACAGCACCTTCCTACAGAATCAAAGCCTCTTTTCAAATTTACAACCCCTGACGGGGCAGACCACCCAGTAAACAGGGTAAGCACAGGCTTACTTGTGCTTACTTACTAATCTGTAGTGAACAATTTCACTACAGATGGATGGTAAGCAAGCTAAATATTGTGCTTACCCTGCCTGTTGGATAATTCGTCTGTCAGTGGGTGAAAATTAAGAGGCACGTCAATCCATTGATTACATTAGGAAGTGTTTTTAGCTCATAAAGAGGACATGATTTGAGAATGTTGTGGTTAAGCAGGGACCTAAAAAAATTGTCATTACCACCTTGGGTTTCAAGAACGGGATTGGATAGGAAAGGCTACTGATGCGAGTCAGGGTGATGTTCGCACAGAATGAATTCTTATCAACCCCTTATCCTGATCCTCTTAAGGTTCTGGGCTATCTTTCAGGAAACTGACAAGGCATTAACTCAATGACATCACTGATGGCAGGCCAGTCTCCCTGTAGAAAGAATCCAAAGGATGGTAGTGGACTAATAATAAATATGACTTCATTCTCTATCACCATTTATGTGAGGCCATTTGGGACATTCTGGCAAATTATGGAAAGTGCACTTAACTGTCTATCTCCATGGACAAAATGTCATTTCATAAGGGAAACTCCCATCAAAGAAGAGAGCTGAAATGTCTGGAACCAGATTCTGTTATGTAAATCTGGTACTGTATCTCAGGGCTTCCGACTCCTTATGGAGCAGCATCAACAAAAATAGTCAATTCTGATGATGTCAGGAAACACTCTTTAGCCATCTGTGTAGGGAGAGCTGAGAAAAGTTTTCTCCAATTACTTTGGATCGAAATTCTTAATTATTTCTGGGGCTTCCAAAAGGAACTTTCAGATGTGCCTGGTTGGTTGTCAAGGAAAACGGCAACAAAGGAGTCACTCAGAAGCGAAAGCAGAGCATGACGCACATAATCTAATTGCTTAGCTACCAAAGCCTTAAACGTAACATCTCGTCTTCCCAGTTGACTGCCTTGCCAATTCATCCCTGGAAGATATTGAGAGCCCTGAATCATAGCCAGAGAACACCTGCTTGTTTGAGTTCCAGTTAGTTCCCAGGTAACTATCCATGGCAAACACTTGGGTTGGCTGCTCAACTGTCATTCACAGCCCCACCCTTCCTCCTGGCTGGCAGTGCCTGGTTCCCACTACATAGACTGAAAGTGCCAGATGAGCAAAATTTCAAGCCTTTTTTGCATGGGGACTCGTGATCCAATCTTGACCAAGGAGTCCAAAGGCAAGTCAGCTTCAGGCCTGATGGGGAAAGTCCTCCCCCTTGATAAAACGAGATGTTAGAAGAGATACCCTTCCTCTTGTTTTCTATCAAAATGAGATACATGAACTCACCCACAGCAACCATCTCATAACCATGGGAGGGTACATGCCTCAACAGTGAGAACAATGGAAGGAAGAGATGTGAAGACTGTGGGCTCTGAACAAACTGCACCCTGCCTCCGCGTTTTCTGCATATGATGATAATAAATCCCTGTTTTTTAAGCTGCCTTTTACAGGAACTATTACTTGCAGCAAACGTATCCTATATGAACCGTTTTTTTTTTTTTTTTTGTAATATTAACCAATTTGGAAGGGTTGGTCAAGACAAAAGAAAATAGGTGAAGGCTTCAGTTCCCACAGTACACGTAGCAGACGAAGTTAGGCTCCCAACACAGGACGTCACTGAGCAAAGTACACCCTTCATGTGTCTCCATCCCAAGTAACCTAGACAACCAGCAGCCATTTTTTGCAATTTTAGAGGCAGAGAATTTCTAAGAACACCATTAAAACGTCATCATCCTATTGCTTTGCCATCTTGTTTCATGTATTTCTTATTTTTCTCCTTTTCCTACACAAAAGCTGTACCAGAGACACTTATACAGCTTGCCTTTATCCCACTAAACACATCAGCGAGATCTTTCCATCTCACACGTAGAAAGCTTCCTCATTTGAGACTTAATTCCAATTTATCTCTGAATCCAAGTGACGGTCCATATTAAATGATTCTGTAGATAATATTCTTGTTTTCATCTTTTGAAAGAGTACCATAACTTAGAAGTCGCCAAGCAAGAACAAAGGCCACCTCAGAAGAGTAGAAGCCCCTAATAGCTGGCTGAATGAAGAGTTTCCAGGCTTTGCTACAAATGAGACATACATGTTCCCTTTACTATGCCAGGTGTGCTGCTGTCTCGGGCTCTGCACCTGCAGATCCCTTTGCCCCAAGATGGCTGCATGATGCACGTCTCAGCTCCTTCACGTCTTTCTCAAATCTTAGTGAGGCCTTCCTTGAACTCTTCATTTAAAATGGAAATACCCTGCACCCCCCTGCATTCCCTACTCCCCATCCTTGATTACTTTTCTCTAGGGCACTCATATTCTAATAGACTATATCCAACTTTATTTCAGTTTTTGTCCTTTTCTCCTAAAAAGTATGTAATTTGTGCCTGTTTTTGTTCATTGTAGCATCCCTAGCACCCATTATAATAGGCACTGGATAAATACTTGTTGCATGAAAGAAGGCATCAGATGGCGACCACACAGAACATCCACCAAAATCTGTCTACCCAGCTTGGCTACTGCTGATGCAGCAAGAGACACATCCACAGAGAGGGAAGTAGCAAGAGATCTTGTCGAAGTACATGAGCCGTTAAAGTAGACTTCTATAACATTCGATACAGGTGAACTGGGGCCAAGTGCAGATCTCAAAGCAATTCAAAGACCCATGCAGATTTGAAAACAATGTTCTTTTGGATTGTCTGTCCAAGAGCTGCAGTGCCGTGGCCACTGCTGATATTAGCCCAAAAAGCGGGTGCTCAGGATATAGCGGGTGGAAGGTAAGAAATTTTTCCTTTCCCTATATCTGGATTATTCGGAAAATTACAAATAGAAGGAAGGAAGAGAAAAGAGAGGAAGTGCAGTAGGGAATGCATTCATTCATCAGGAACTAACCTCACATTCAGGACAAAACCAGTCCCCCTCTGGTTCCGATGTCAGTCTCAGACACTTAGCGTGATAAACCCGGGGACAGAGCTCACAGCAAAGGACTTGGCCTTCCCGGTGACAAACCCAGCAGTAGAAATCATTCCGTCCATCCTGCGGTACAACATCAACAGGGTCTGTGGTGAGTGGCTGCTTCATATAGTAAAACGGACCATGTCTTAGTTCTGACTGAAATGTAGGCAAGAAAGACAGGTTTGGTTTCAAAACAAATGTGCATTCTCAAAAGGAATTCGAACAAATACAGCAATAACAACAAAAGAAAATGACAGCATATCACAAGTTCATTAAAAAGCCAAGCTAGCTTGGGTTAACCTACTAAATACAGAATTTGCAGATCTTCAGGTAATAATAATTATTTTTTCTTCTTCTTCTATTTTAAGTGCCCATGGATGGACAGCTGGTATCTAAGAGTCACTAGGCAGCCCTAACTGGACAGCACAATGGTTAAGAGTTATGACCCAGGGCTCTGGCATAAGACGTATCTGGGTTCCAATTTTAGCTCTACCTGATTAACCAGCAGCATGACCTTGGGCAAGTCTCTTAACCTCTCAGCTTCAGTTTTCTCATCTGTAAAATGGGGATAATAACACCTAACTTCGTGGTATGGTGGCTGGGATTAAATGGGATGATATAATGTATGCATTTAACACAGTGACACCCAGGACTTGGAAATTTGAAACCCTGCTGAGAATTTGCATTTCTAACAAAGAATCTCTTTAAGAATCACCTGGGGATCTTGTTAAAATGTATTATGGTGTTCGATATTGAATACACCAAGAACACTGAATATACCATGGACTGCCAGAATAATGAACAAATCTGTCTTGGAAGACATACAGCCAGTGCTCCTTAGAAGCAAGAATGGCGAGACTTCATCTTATGTACTTTGGACATGTTATCAGGAGGGACCAGTCCCTTGAGAAGGACACCATGCTTGGTAAAGCAGAGGGTCAGCGAAAGAGAGGGAGACCCTCAACAAGATGGACTGACACTATGGCTGCAATGATGGGCTCAAGCATACCAACAATTGTGAGGATCGTGCAGGACTGGGCAGTGTTTCATTCTGTTGTACATATGGTCGATATGAGGTGGAAGCAACTCAACACCACCTAACAACAACATCTGGGGTGGAAATGCAAATTCTCAGCAGGGATTCAAAACAGAATGAACCAGTGTCACAGTTCGAAGCCCTGGTGCTGCCATTACTAAAATTGCTAATATGGTTAAGACGCCAACGTATGGAAGTCCAAATTCACAAAGCTGATAAAATTACGGCAATTTTCCCTTGGAGGTGTTTGGAGGATAGATCAATTGGATCTGAGTCACAAAAAACACGATCATCCATTTTTTAAGTCTACTCCCAACGCATAAAGTACTGCGAGCCATCAGCATGACTGTGAACACGGCAGGTCCTCCCTCATCTTTGCTGAGGAGCCACAGCTCCTATTTACAACTAACACAACAACAGAAAAATGAGATGGATGGCCAGTTCCGGGGAGCCAGACCTCTTTCTGCACCAAAATGTCAGGAGAAATGTTTCCCTAGTGATTTACTGTAGAAATCCAGCAAAGCCACACTCAAATCATACAAAATCATTTTACAGAAACTCACTTCTAAAATGTCTTATCACAAACTACTAGGAACCCTTTGTAAGGAGGAAGGGATGAAACAGTCCAGTGGTAAGTATGAAAGAGATCTGGTAACTAGCTGTGTGACCTTGAGAAGCTACTCAACCCTCTCTGAACCTTGGTTCCTTGGCAATAAGAACAGGGATAACCATTTAGCTACAACCACAGCACCTACCTTTGAATAAACCTCACTGTATAACAAGCTTCTTTTCTGTCCTTCAGTAAAACATTATGGTTTTCTCCATAAAGATCTCGTATACCGGTTAGATACTGCACAATTTTTGTCAATACTGTAAATGGGAATCTTTTTCTATTATACTTTCTAAACGGTTATTGTTGGTACATGGAAGAGCTGTTGGTTTTTTTAATATTGACCTCATACATAAACAGTTCTAACAATTTATTGATTGAAAAGCATATCATCTCTAAGTAACATTAGTTTTGTCTCTCATTCCAAATACTTTTATATTAGTTTTCTTTTTTCTTTATTCCAATGGCTAGGACCTCCAGCATAAGATGAAAGAGTTGATACGATTGCACGCCCTCATGTCTTGTTCCTGGCTTCTAATATGAAGTTTTACTGTTCTAAAAATGCCTGCTATTCCTACCCTCCTTGATAAAGAGCCTCATTAATGCTGATTTGGCAGATCCTTGTTTCTACTAAGCCTTCTTACTCTCATTTTTACTAAGTAAACAGCTAAGACTCCAAAGGGTGATTGTGTTCATTCTTTAGCCCAGTTACTTCCCTGTTGAGGTTCAGCTTTCCTGACAGAGTGGCGGTCTATTTGGTTTCTATGAAATAACATCATTGTTACAAGATTATTTCCATGTTACATTTGTACAGAGCCCTTAAATTTTTTGGCATTCTGTCACAAACACCATTTTATTTTATCCTCACAACCACTCAAGAGAGGTCCTGAGTATAAATACACTAGCCTTACTCGACACATAGGAAAACCATGTTTAAAAGACTTATCTGACTCCTAAGTCCAGAGGAAGGATCTGGGCAAGAACCTGAACCTGAGTTCAAAAAGCTGGAGGGGAAAAGAATCTGAAAAGTAGGAAGACTACTAGAAATACAACAGAAGGGGACATGAAAAGATAACAGCATCTAGAACAGGGTTTCTCAACCTTAGCATTTGGGGCTGGCTAATTCTTTGCTGTGGGGCCTGTCCTGTGCTTTGTAGGATGCGTAGCAACATTCTTGGCCTCTACCCACTAGCACCCTGTCCAAGTTGTGAGAACCAAAAATGTCTCCATACATTGCAAATGTCCCTTGGGAGACAATATTGCCCCTGGCTGATGTAGAAGGTCTGCTGTCTACCTAGTTTCAGCTTCTTTGGGGAAGGGGGCTTAAAGAGAAGCTTGGAAGAGGAGAAACTTCCACTGAAAATAAACTGTACAAATCAAGTAAGTGAACTATTTCTAACCTAAGTGAGGTCTTCCCAAATGCTTTTGTGGATTTTGCAAGATAGCTATAAGCCTTATTTTTAGTGCCCAACTTCTTACCAACAAGTTAATAATAGAACGGGTATATTCAAGATCTAAATGAAATTGGAAGAATCAAATGTGACAGTTAATCTCCCTAACTGGCTACCCAAGTCCTTTCTATCTAATAGAAACCAGAGTACCGATATTTCAGAAATAACGTTTCCCTCAACTCCCGCTGCTGCTGTCCTCCAACTGGCCGAGGGTAGGTGTTCCCAGGAGGATCGTCAGGAGTGCCAGGCGGTTCCACACTCTTTCCAGACTATCTCATCCTTCCCTGAAGCAGCAGTTGTTGCCGAGAACAAGCTGCCTGGTTAATCTCCTTGTCAATCAGATACCTTCCTTATCTGCTGCTTGTAAATGTTTCCTGCCCCATAAAAATCATCTGATAAGAAATATGGAACATTAAAAAAAAAAGAAAGAAAAGCAAATCATTTCCGGTGAAAGGAGTTACAATTTTTCTTCTCCACATATATAAAAGTTGTGTGTTACCACCCTGATAATAAGGCGAACAGGCTGCAACCTGTGTAATTACAGAATACTTGCAGGTTATGAGAGCAAATGTTCTCCTTTCTCTGCTCCTTCCATGGGTTGGCTTAACAAGCAAATAGAGAACACCAGTTCATTAACTTCTGGAATACCTCAGTCTACACCAGGAGCCAGCAAACTTTTTCTATAAAGGGCCAGATAGTAGATCGTTGAGGCTTTGCAGGCCGTATGTCTCTATCTGTTGTAGCACAAAAGCAGCCATAGACAATACTTACGTGGATGAATGTGGCTATGTGCCAATAAAGCTTTATTTACAACACCTAGTCTACATAAACCAAGGACTGAGTGTTCTCGCTGGGTGTGAATACAGAATGCATGCGCAGGAAGGGGGACAGAAAAGGGGGCACAAACTCGTGTTCCTATAGGGCCATGGAGGTAACATAAATGAGTGAAGGAAGAACATATCCCTCCTTGCTCCAGTTTTCATTCTCCTGCATTTGATAGGAGCAAGAGTCCTGAAAAATATGTCTCTACTCTTAAGAAAAACTGTCTAGCCTGGAGTGTGAGGAATGGCAACTGGCACTCAGCCTGGAAATGCACAAGATGGCAGGGAGTGGGGGACTCTGGGATTAACTGGAGAGTTTCTGGCTATCCTAAAGCGGCAGCCCCTACTCGGCTACAATCCCTCCTGTCACTCAAACTTTCCTAAGTGTTAATACACTACCCCAGCCCAACAAGAGACTTTGTGAAATGCCCTGGTTTTTAAGAAAATGCATACCCATTGCCGTCGAGTCGATTCCGACTCATATTCTGACTCACAGCAACCCTACAGGCCAGAGAAGAACTGCCTTGTAGGATTTCCAAGCAGTGGCTGGTGGATTCGAAATGCCAGCCTTTATGGTTAGCAGCCAAACTCTTAACCACTGCGCCACCAGAGCTCCAAGACAATGCACAGACCCAGAAAACAAGATCTAGACCACCCATGTATGATATGTATATATGTGTGTATGCAGTGCAACCTGTGAGAGCCCGAACTCAATAGGATTACCTTGTTTTCCTGCGTCTTCTACGTTTTCCGCCTTTGACAGGGTGCTTACCACTTTTCTATCACTCACTGTTAAGAATCCTACCTCATAAACACCCAGTGAATTTTCCTTCTCTGACAGGTTTCCACATTACAGAGGTTCTGGCTTTTGCAGGTTTTACTGTATTTTCTAGGCTATAATCTTTACAGGAAGGAGCCCTGGTGGCACTATGGTTGAGCACTCAGTTGCTAACCAAAAGATCTGCTTCTTTAAAGATTACAGCCTTGGAAACCTTATTGGGCAGTTCTACTCCGTCCTATAGGGTCACTATGAGGCGGAATCGACTTGATGGCAATAGGTTTGGGTTTTTTTAATCTTTACAGGAGTAGATTTGCCAGGTCTTTCTCCCATGGAGCCACTGGGTGGGTTCAAACCACCAACCTTTCGGTTAGCAGCCAAACACTTAACTGTTGGGCCACCAAGACTCCTTAGATGTATCTATATACGTCTATTTATCTACATTTATGTATCCTGTATCAGAGAAGGTGAGGGTGGCCTCCATCACTTCTTGGACACGTTCAATCAAAGTATACCTAGAGTCACTGTGCACAAATCTGCTAACAGATTATTTCTCAATCCTTTTATTAGCTCCCCCTCAAAAACACTTTTTTTTCCAGAAGGCTCTTTAAATTGAAATATCCTGAGAACTAAAGATTAGAGTGGTACTTTTCAGTAATGGCTCTTTGTTTTAAGGGACTGTCCTGTCAATTTCATGACCTGCCCCAGACTTGCCCCTCCTCCACAATGTTAGAAGCATCCTCCCACGATTTCGGACACCCCCTGCCCAAGAAAAAACACCCAAATGTTTTCAAACCCTTAAGGAGTGAAACCATTGGACCAAAGGACTTTAAGAAAGTAATTATAAACCTTAGAATACTTTTCCCCCTAAAAATAAAGTGCTTGTTTTAAAGCTCTTCTTAAAACTCCGCTGAAAGTACTGAATTTACAGTATATGAAAAATCGGGGAAATAGGGTACAAATTTAAAACTCAAACGATAATAAAAGGTCTCCTTAACCAAAGATGGAAAAACGTGTTGTTTTGTTTTAAATAAAGGCAGAGTGACCTTCTTTCTTAGAACACTAAAACCCAGAAGAGAAATTAGAATAAAGAAAAAGAAAGGAGGAGGAAGCAAAGAAGCTTGATATACCTCATAAGTCAAACAAACTCCAGTGCCTACAGGGACCCAGCAGGCAGAAGGAGAATGAAGTGGAGTGGATGTGTGACAACCGGGGAGGGGGGAGGTACAGAAAACTAGAAATTACAGGCCCTGTATCAAAGGGGCAGGCTCTACTTGGCTGTAGCTATTGCTGGATTTTCTGAGTTTATATGAGAGACCAGAAAGGCAGATTTTATTTGAAATCTCATGATCCTTACATGTTGGGAGACTAAAGGAAATAACAGTCAAACATAGCATTTCCAGTGTTACCATTTGCTGCTTTTAATTCCATAGTTCTTTAAAAAAAAAAAAAAAACAGTTGCCCAGAAGAAGAAAAGAAAATGCATTTAAGTTCCCCATGAGGAAAACAGATTCTGCACCAGGGAGATTACCCCTACTATGCAGACAGTTAACTGCTAGAATGAATTACGGGGTCAAGGGTCAGGAATTTCCTCTCTTTATAGCTAAGGCAGTTAAGACCCTTCTCCCCTTTTACCAACGAAGGTCTCCTGGTCATTCTGCCCAGGAGTTTTACATCAGAAAAACAAAATCTATGCTCAGTGTTGCAATGTTCCTATTCCAAACCCCTTTTTTATAGATGTAACTGAAGCTCAGAGATGAGAAAGCAACTGACAAGGTCACACAGCGAGTTTCCCAGCTACAGTGGAGGTTAAGAAGAGCCAGGTCTTCCAGGCAGGTCTGGAACTTTCCAGCATCACAGTTCTGTAAACAGTTCTATCCAAACTAAGAACAGGGGATTGTTCAGGCTGTGTCCATTCTCCCATGCTCTGCTACTTGCCACATTCTGAGTGCTCTACATATTCGTTCAGCAAGGTCTACCTGAGCTCCCAACTGTGCCAAACTCTGGGGCTACAGCAGTGAGTGGACATCGGCCTCGCTTTTCTGAGGCTGCTAGTCCAGAGGGAGACACAGACTTAAAAACACATCACTGTGGTCACGAGGCTCAAGTGTTAGAGAAATGCAATGAACACATGGATGGGAAAGCCAGAGAAGAAAATGTCTAAGCCGCCCGGGGAGATCAGCCTCCAGGAAGAGATGCAAGCAAGCTCTTAAAGGACAGGCAGGGATTCATAAGGCATGTACGCAGGTATACACACCAGGAAGGAGGCATTCAAAGTAGACTACTTCCATACAGAGAGGACAACATCTTTTATGAGTTACAGGCAGACCCCAGGTTACAAACGAGATCCGTTCTTAAGTCTGTCTTTAAGTTGAATTGGTAGTTAAGTCGAAACGGGCACATATGGTTCTTATTTAGCATGTTAGTCAAATGTTTGTCTTATTTATCTTTCTATGCATATAAAACACTTCACAAACACTTCTAAACCATGCAACGTTTTCATGAGCCTCACAAAGTAGTGCCTGCATTCATTATTATGAACCATTGTATTTAACTCAAATATTTAATATCATAGGCTTTATGGCACTTCATTCTTAAGTACAAGTTGTTAGCTTTCTGTATGAGTTGCCCAGGGACTGGCTGTACTGGAAACTCTGGTAAGAGACTGGTGGCCCAGGAAGTAGAATTACTGGCTAAATTAAGGTTTGGGGATTATCTGTGGCTTTCACGTTTCTTTCTTAGTGTTCAGTCTTGACAGCTATAGGTGGCTCCTGGGTGACAAAAAGTAGCTTGTCACCAGCTTCAAGCCAGACAGGCAGATCTAAGTTCAAATGCAGCTTACTCACTCTGACACCCTGAAGAGGCAAAAGTAACTCTCTGAACCTTTGTGCTTTCATCTGTAAAATGGAGATGATTACAACCCCTTCCTCACGGGCTGTTATGAGCATTAAGATAACACGGAAAAGGTGTTTAAAGCAGTACCAGGCACACAGTAAGCACTGCTCTTAGTACTGTGATCATCAATGCTATTATAGGTTTTCCTTCCAAATTCAACACCCCGAAATATTTATTTATAGCCCACCACCAGCTTCTTTTCCTGTAAATGCCCAACTCACAGAGCCTGCACCGTCCAACACCGCAGCCAAGTTACATGTGGCTACTTACATTCAAATTAAACAAGATTAAAAATGCAGTTCCTCAGTCACACTTGCCCCTTTCGAGTGTTCAGTGGCCACATGTGGCTTGTGGCCACCATACTGAACAGTGCTGACATCGACTATTTCTACACCTATGATTTAACTTATTATTTATTGAACTATTTCACTTAGCACAGAGTGTGACTTATTTTTTAACTTATTCTTGCTATTAAAATCATTTAGCTCAATTATCTTCACAACTGAGCCCTGGTGGCATAGTGGTTAAGTGCTTGGCTGCACACCGAAAGGTCAATGGTTCGAACCCACAAGCCACTCCGAGGGAAAAAGATTTGGCAGTCTGCTTCCAAAAAGATTACAGCCTTGGAAAGCCCATGGGGCAGTTCTACTCTACCCTATAGGGTCGCGATGAGTCAGAATCGACTCGACGGCAGTGAGGTTTTAATCTTCACAACAGCCCCGAGAAGTTAGTAGTGGAATTATTATCATCCTCATTCCAACAGATGAGAAAACAAGGCACAAAGAATTAACTTACCCACAGCCACAAAGCAGACTGCTATTTCGCTACATAATTTTGAGAATGAAAATAGATTAGCGCGCAGGAAGGTACACCTCTCACAGTTCTGGGCATTTAACCATTGCTGGGTTTCTCTACGTGAAAGCAACAACCTTGTTTTATTCAAACTTAAATCCCCTGGGCCCACTCCAGCGCTCAGTAACACACAAAATGGATGGATGGAAAGATCCCTAGGAATCCCTGCTCGAGAGGTGAGAGAAAGCAGAGCCACTGGGGGGTACACTGTTCTCAAACGCTAGGAGAGCTGACGGGGGCGGGGGGGGGGCAGATAAATTCCACCAATACATCCACTAAAGCACCTCTCTCTCTAATCAGACGAATATCTAGATTGCATCAGAGCATTTTAAACCTAGAAGGTTCCTTACACAAGATCCAAGATGGCAAACAGATTCTCCATATCTACTTGATTGGTCCTGGCTGCCGAGGGAGGTCTGCGCGCAATGAGAAGGAAACACGATCAATGATCAATTACCAATGTCTACCTCAGGCGATGCATGGGGAAGGTGACTGCCTCCTGCCCAGGACCTGAAGCCCCCATTTTACAGATGAGAAAACCGAGAGTGGGAGAGAGCATGACTTGACCTCGAAGTCAAGCAATCACCTCCCGACAGAGCTCAGAATCGGTCCTACCTACTGGCATGGCCCAGGAGGGAAAAGAAATCCTCAGGCCACACACAGGAAAGAGACCTAAAGTGTGAAAACATAAATCCCCAGAAAAATCCCCAAACCCTAAAGCCCATCATCTTCACAGTGACCGGTCCCCAAAATAGATCTGAAAACCCGCTGGAAATTCTTACGGGGCACAATTTGAGCTGCCCTTTTTGTCCTATGCAAATGACACATAGTAAGAATACCAGCTCTCAGAAAAACCTGGAGAGCTTCAGTGCTCCTCACTCGTGCCTCTGTCCCACCTGTGCGGACACCAATCCCAGTGGGTTCCTTTACCTGCTCCTTATTGTTATTGTTCAGTAAGCCGGGTTTCTTTTTCTTTTTAATGGGGCTTGTTGAGGTGTCCTGTGGCGAGTGGCCATTGGAAGAATGCGGAGGGCTGGGGAACTTTCTTTTCTGGGCTGCTCTCTCTGTAGAGCCAGGATCTGGAAGAGACACACAGGACCAGACATTTTAAAGCAGTCAGGGAGCCCTGGGCCCTGCGGGAGGAGGGAGTGTGGGACACAGCACATTTTCATCCCCAAACTCCCAATGCCATTTTAGTGTCCCTCCTCCCCGAATACATCCTCTTCATCGCCTGTCTCAGAGATCAAACAGTTATTCCTTGGCGCACTTAACATTTTTGTAAAATTGTAATTAATCGTCAAAATGTGAAAGTTGGGAGCCTTCACATAATAATCTGGATTTCTAGCTTCTCTTAAAAAAAAAAAAAAAAATCCAGGCCTGCATGTCCTCATGGCACCCATACAGCTGAGTAACAGCTGCTTACTTTTTTTATGAGAAAGGTGCTCTCCATTTTGCCACAATTCCCACCTTTCTCTATCGTCCCTGCCAAGAAGGCTTGAGAGCCAGCTACCATGAGTTGTTACATAGGCACCGGTGTTTTTCTTATTCCAAAGAAATATTTCTTCCCGTACATGTCTGATAGCAAAAGAAGACCAGGAAAGACAGACAAGACAGGTTTCAAGAAAATGAATGCAAATGTATTTCGTTGTGGATGAGAATGATATTTATTCATGTTTTATAGGCCAACAAAGTATAACTGCGTGAAAAGAATACACCCCAACCACCCGTAACTTTTCATGACCCCATCACCAGCAGACATTTGAGACTCTCCTCCAAAGAGGTCAAATTACGTCCTCGCTAATTTTCCCCTGTAAATGCTAAACCTCATCTCTGTCATCCTCTCCCTCTTTATTTTTCATTCTCCCGGCATCTCATGTAAACATGTAAAAACTCTCATAACCATCCAGTCTTTACCTGCACGGATGTGAATCCATTCTATGCCAGATAGCAGCTCTGCTTGCTTAGGGGGAAACGATACAATGGCACAGCTTGGTGCACCTTACACCCTGAGAACAACAGTTACAGTTCTCAGCAGAGGGGAGAACTATGCCAGGAGTTACCGAGGTGGCAGGATGAGATGTGAAACCCGGAATGTGGACCATTCCCACAGGTAGCCTGACTAAGCTCCTCCTCCAGTTTAATACTCAGGGTAAGCCCCCGCAAACAGGCTGTGATAGGCATCACAGGTCCCTCGTGTGTGGAGAGGAAATCACCAATGGCAGACTAACAAGGTTCCATATGGCCACACCAGGGTGGTTCTGACAGGCTTCCTGACCAAAAGCAAACCCACTGTCGTGGAGTTGATTCCAACTCATGGTCCGCCCATGTGTTACAGAATAGAACTGCTACAGAGGGTTTTCACGGCTGCAATCTTTACAGAAGCAGATCGCCAAGTCGTTCTTCTACAGCAGCGCTGAGTGGGTCCGAACTTTTAGGCTAGCAATCCAGCGAAAACCATTCGCACCACCCAGGAAGCCTAACAGGCCACCTAGTGGTTTACCTTGGGTTGAGAGGGGAAGCATCTCCCAGCAGACTCACAAAGGAAGACAATGAACTACTTTCCACAAAAATCACTGCTTCATCACCCAATCCACGCAAGGGAACTCTCCAGACTCACTAGGCAGGCTTCAGAAAAACCCTGAATAATTTTCAGAGTTCTATGCTGAGACACTGGAGCCTTGGCCAGGGCTGTGGTTAAGCACTCAGCTGCTAACTTTAAGGTTGGCGGTTCGAACTCACTAGACCTGATGATCTGCTCCCTTAAAGATTACAGCCTTGGCTGTGGGGACCATGGTCTCGGGGAACATCTAGCTCAATTGGCATGACACAGCTTATAAAGACAATGCTCTACATTCTACCTTGGTGAGTAGTGTCTAGGGTCTTAAAAGCCTGTGTGCGGCCATCTAAGATACTCCACCGGTCTCATCCCTTCGGGAACAAGGGAGAATGAAGAGAACAGGACACAAGGAAAAGATTAATCCGAAGGACTAATTGTCCATGGCTACCAAGGCCTCCACCGGACTGAGTCCAGTACAGCTAGTGGTGCCCGGCTACCACCACTGACTGCTCTGACCAGGATCACAACAGAGGGTTCTGGACAGAGCTGGAGAAGGATGTAGAGCATAATTCTAACTCGCAAAAAAAAAGACCAGATTTACTGGTCTAAAGGAGACTGGAGAAACTCCAAGAGTATGGCCCCCAGACACCCTTTTAGCTCAGTGGTGAAGCTACCTCCAAGGTTCACAGTTCAGCCCGCAAGAGGACAGCCCCATAAAACCAAATGAGACTAACGAGGTACAGGAGTCCAGTGACAAGGGCCAGAAGGCAGAAGGGGACAAGGAAGCTGGTGATAGGGAACCCAAGATTGAGTAAGGATATTGCTGATGTGTTCTGAGATTGTTAACCATTGTCATAGGGCAGCATTTGTAGTAAGTGTTAAATGAGAAACTATTTTGTTCTGTAAGCCTTCATCTTAAGTGAGAATAACAACACAATTGTAAGAGCGTAGTCAATGTCACTGAACTGTGCATGCAGAAATTTTTGAAATGGTGTTATCTTTGCCTATGTGTATTTTCAGCAAAGAAAAAAAAAGTCAAGAAGTTAGAGGGTTGGTATGTTGTGGGGTTGTTAACCAATGTCATAAAACAACATGTGTACTACTGTTTCACGAGAAACTATTTGTTCTGTAAGCCTTCACCTGAAGTACAATTAAAAAAAAAAAAAAAAAAAGATTACTGCCTTGGAAACCCTATGAGGCAATTCTACTGTAACGCTGGGTCACTACTGAGTACGAACCGACTTGACGGCAGACATGCTGAGACATAGCCCCGGGAGAAAATTAAATGCTAACCACAGGCATCTTGAGAGTTAACAGACCCCCCCGAGTTCTGGAGACGATCCCGCGGACATCAAAATGGAGGCCCAGAGGCCCCAGATGGTTGGCCCAAAGGCACACAGCAGCTCATTAGTGAGAAAACTCACTAAAAAGATGAAGCCTGGAGTCGGTACACTCCCCCAGAGAACATCTCCTTTCATTCCTGCCAGGGTCCTCACCCTACTCCGCCATCATATATGAAAACCCTCATTTTCTCCATACAGCCTGGGACCCAACAATCTTCTCCTAGAAACACATTCTATAGACACAGTTACAATATAGCTGATCAAAGCTGTGCAAGAATATTCAACTCTAGCACTGTGTATGGTACCTAGGGCTGGAAACCTCGGAACCATTTGCTGTTGAGTTAATTCCAACCCATGGCGACCTCATATGTGTCAGAGCAGAACTAGGCTTGCTCCACAGGGTTTTCAATGGCTGATTTTTCAGAATTAGATCACCAGGCCTTTCCGGGGAACCTCTGGGTTGTCTTGGACCTCCAACCTGTCAGTTGGCAGCCGCATATGTTAACCTTTTGCACTACCCACCAAAACCTGCAAACCCACTGCCGTCAAGTCGATTCCAGCTCATGGTGACCCTATAGAGCAGAAAAGAACTGCCCCATAGGCTTTCCAAGGAGCGGCTGGTGGATTCAAACTGTCAACCTTTTGGTTAGCAGCTGAGCTCTTTAACAACTATGCCATCAAGGCTCCAGGGACTGTGGATAACAACTTAAAGGTCCATAATACAGGACTGGTCTGGTATTTTTTCCTTACCGCCAACAATGGAATACTCTGCAGCCATTAAGAATAATTAAACACCTCTACACAAACGGATATACAACCATCTCCAATCTACTACATCAGGCTAGAAAAGCAATGTGTGTCCAGTACCATTAATGGACCCCCTCTCCACCAAAAAAAAAAGATGCACTACATACATAAATGTTTGCGTAAGTCAAAAATACTCTGGGAAGAACACAACAGTATCATACAACTCCAAAACGGGTTATGGTGGATGCCTCTGGGAAGGAGAACCTACAAGGTATCCTCAACTCAAAAGATAAAAAGAGACAGGGCTAAAGGACGTTAAGGGCCCAATGAACTTTAAAATTCTTTAATTCTATGGGAAAGGGAAAAATAAAATCAGTAGAAATTAATGCAATCTATCATAAGCTATTTAGAGCTGGGAAGGGAGTTTCGCCCAAGCCCAGCAGGAAACGGAAAGGGGAAACCAAGGTCCTGCTCAGCAAGAGAAGGGGACTGGCCCAAGGTTATACACACCTAAGAGGATTTCTAACCTTCCAGCTCAGCAAAACATAAAAAAACCCAACTCTGCTCCCTGTGACAAACACACTGATTCCCCCTAGAGTCTTAACGAGGGTGTTCGGCAGCTATATCCAAGGGGTAGACATTTAATAGGTTCCAAACAACAGACACATCTGTCAACAGCAGAGGCTTTCAATGCAGGCTCTCAGGGAGAAAAACTGGGAAACGCCTGCTGGATTCAGAGTCTTTCAGAGGTAGAAGATGGCAGGTCAGCATTTGGACTTAAAAGCTTACCCACTCCTGTGGGGGCTCAGCCTCTGGTGGTGACAGAAAGGTGGGTTTTTTGCTGGGGCCGTGTTAACAAAGCTGATCTTAGGATCTTTTCCAGAAAGCTGAGTCAAAGGGATTTTTTTCGTTTTTTTCTTCTTCTTGAATGATTTAATTCTGACTAGGATCTATTGCTAAACATATTTCATCTGCACACTTGGAATGGGGACAAACAGCCACGACAGACTGAATCACCAGAGATGGTTCACCCCTGATCTGAAAAGACCCTTCTGCTGGCTTCTCTGGAGCACAGGACAACACACCGCTGCCCACCCCTCCTGGTCTCCAGTTAACGTGGGCATGGGAGGAGCTGCCAGAGCAATGACTCAGGAAAACAGCTTGGCACGGAGCAGAAAGCAGCAGAATTTTCCCCCCACTTGCGACATTTCACTGAATTCTTAATAATACGGAAAAGTCTACTGGGTATTAGGAACCAAGTAGGTGAGAAGATCTCTCCTGAACCTGTGTCTTGCTGAGGAGGTGTGAACAGCCAGAAATACCCCCCCTCAATACTTCCTAAACATCCTTTGACTTAAGGGATGCCTTCCTTCAAAATGACCTGGCCTCTTAGCTTTCCTGGGCCGTACGTATTAACAGGGAAGAGTTTCTT